CTCCAGGTTTTTATATATTTGTTATTTTATATTTTTTACAGGGATTTGGGAGGAAAGGTTTGCTGGAGATTTGCAACCAGCTGAGGTTTTTTGCTCCCCTGTTGTTAAACAATGAGTTTGGGACCTCTGGGATCCCTGCTGTCTTCACCCCAAACCCCCTAATTTTCCCTAAAATCCCAACCTCCTTTGGAGCTGGAGTTTGCAGCCTGTGGGGTGAGAAAACAGCACGGAAGGGAGAGGAGCTGGCAGTGAATTTGGGGGGGGTTGATGTCCTGACAGTGTGGCAGTGTCCCCTCGCTGGGGACAGGGAGAACAGGGTGGCTTTTCTTTGCCCTGCTGATCAGCATTCAGCTGGGGACGCAGAGCACAGCTGGGAGGATGCTCCCGCGGATCCGGGGTGACTTCCTCGCTCTGGGGGAGGCTGAGCCTGCTGTCCCCAGCCGTGCCACATCCCCCGAGGGGTCACGTCCCTCCCGCAGCCCTGGTTCTGTTTCCTTGGGTTTCTTTCCCTTTGTACGCCCCAAATCCGGAGTGATGCCCCTGAGGTTTTGTCCCCAAAGCCCAAGCCGTGGTTAGGGACAGCATCACCGGACTGTTGGGATGGAGCAGGGAGGATGCTCTGGAAAAGGGAGTTATTTTTGTGCTTTGACTGCCTGAGAAGTGCCAGGAGAAAACCTTGGGTTATTAGAAAAGAAGAGAGCAGAGGAGATGAAAGAACTTTTATTATCTTGGAAGCAGAGTCATTTTAAGCTGCTCAGAAGTACAAACTGCCCTTTTTAAAGGGAATCTTTGCCTGTGTAGGTACAAACACCCAAAATTTTCCCCTTTAATCCTCACACCTTCCCAAGAGCACAACGGGTGGAGCAAAAGGCCGAGATTTTACGAACGGGGTGGCTCTTTCAACATTTGGTGCCAGGGAAGGCTGGGTTCCTCTGCCAGAGTTTCACCCTGGGAGGGGCCTTTCATGACCCAAATTTTGAGGTTAAACCTCATTTTCTGGCAGGATTGGGGCTCTTTCTCCATGAGGGTGACCCCACACTGTGGCCAGGAGGATCCATGGGATCCATCCCGACCCATCCCGCTCAGCCTGGCCAGCTCTGCCCAGATAAACACTGACTCATGTTTTTCTGTCCCACCCTGGGCACTGCAGCTTTTTTAAGGCTGCCTTTTCCAGCAATTCCCTTTTTCCTGCGCCGTTCACACGGGCGGGGTGCACAGCCTCAGCCGGGATGCAGGGAGAGGCTGGGGATGCCGGGTGTGGGGCTCCCGGATCCCTGATGGAGAACTGGGATGAGTCTGAGTGGATGCAGGTAGGGATTAAACTTCCCACTGCCCTCGGAGCTCTGTGCCTCAGTTTCCCCTGTGGCTCTGCCTCCTCGCTTTGACCTGGGGGTCTCCAGCTGCTGGGGGAGGTTTGGGAGAACTTCCAGCCCGGATCCTCGCTGGCAGGAGCTCATTCCCAGCCTGCTGCTGCTGCTCCCGTGGCGTCCCACATCCTCGTCCCCTTCCCAGCCTGCGGGAGCAGGACAGAGGGGTCAGGGATGGTGGCAGGGCTGGAATCACAGCCAGAAGCTCTTGGGCAGGCTGGAGCTTGGGGTTTGGAGGTCTAAACTCCCTCTTGATGGGCTGGTGGTCGATTTCCACCGAGGAATGGGGCTTCATCCCAGGTATCCCGGTGGGGAGTGGGATGCTGAGCAGCGTCATCCCTGTGGATCTGTTGCCATGGCAATCACCGGCTAAAATAAAGGGCAATTGGAGCTGGGTACCCGGAGCTGCTTCCCCATTTGGTGCCTCACTCCTTGAGATTGCCGGGAGCTGGATCCCTCCGGTGTAACCCTGGGCTGGAAATACCGGAGGCATCGATGGGGTGGCCTCGGGTGCCAGCTTGGGATGGGGCTTTCCCTAGGGCATGAGATGCCACGGAATTCTTAGGGATGCTCGGGATCCGGCCCGCAGGGTGAGACCCAAGCTCAGCCAGAGCCATGAACCCCCCACAAAACCGGGACCAGCACCTGCCACATGTCCCCAGGGACACCCCTGCCCTCCGGGGACATCCAGGACTGTGGCAGGGCTGGGTGGGGTCTGGTGCCATCAGATCCAGCGGGACGTGGAGATCCTGTTTTACCTCCATCCCTTCCCAAAGCCGAGCTCCAAACATCTGCCGGCAATTCCTCTCTCCCGGGAAGCTGTGCCGGAGCTGCGGGGGAGCTGCCCGCGCCTCCCACGCCCGGAGGAAGCGGGTTGGGGTTTGGGGTGCGCTGGGAGCTGGGATGGAAGGAGGGAAGTGCTCCAAGGAGGGAAAGGCAGAGCAGCTGCCGGGGAGGAGGCGGCAGCAGGGCGGGCACGGACCCGGCTGTTCCCAGGGGATTTGTTGGTCCTGTCCGGGGTGTCCCGTGCCGGGGACAAGCATTTCCTAGGGGGGACAAGCACCAAAGCAAGGGCTCCCCCGGCTTCCCCAGACCCTGGCAGGTCCCAGCCCGGATCCATTTCATGATGTGGCTCGAAGCGTGATGCACTTTGACAGCTCAGGCAGGATCTGATGTACTCAAAAGCTGCTCTGCTGGTTTGATTTAATTTAATTTGATTTGATTTGATTAGGTTCTATCAGTTCTCCTCAACCTGCCTCCAGTAAAAGCCTGGCCGGAGGGCGCCGGGCAGGCAGGAGGCGGTGCTGGCAGCCTGCCCATCCCTAAAAACTCCTGGAGCGGGGCTCTGGCACCGCCCTGCCCGCTGGGATCCGCCGGGCCGAGCATCCCCTGCCCTCCCCGCGTCCCTGCGACTCGGATCCCGCCGCTTTTCCCCGCTCACATCCGTCCCCCGCCCGTCTGCCTTGGCCAGGGCAGAGGGTTTTTTTTCGCGCAGAAAAGCTGGATTTGAACATTTTCTGCTGTTCTCTCGGTTTCCTGTTGCCTTCCCAAGAACAACATCCCTGACCTCATCCTCCCCCGGTATGCGCCGGGATGCTGCCGGTGCGAGAGCCGCCCGTCGGGAATCCCACCCGGCCTTCCCTGGGTACCAAGACAAACACAGCTGCGGGAATGACGGAGAAAAAGCTATTTTGGGTAAATCCTCTGCTCGTTTTTGTTGAGGTAGGAGGACAAAGATGAATAGATTGAAGGGAGAACAGTGGTTTTGGCTCGAGCAGGGAATTTTGAGCCCGGAGAGGAGCAGTGAAACACTCTTAGTATTATGTGGCTTCTTTTTTTTTTTCTTTTTTTTTTTTTTTTTTCCTTTTCTCGCGGACTTTGGAGTTTTTTTGCTGTGAGAAATGAGGAGGTTTCATGCAGTTTCCCCTGGGACTCTCCTTTTTTGGGAGAATTTTGGAGAGGCAGGTGGGAGTTTGCTGGATGATTTTCCAGCACCTCCTGGTGCCCATCCTGCCCTTCTGGAATGTTCATGGTGGGACTGGCAGCTGCTGCTGTGGGGTTTGGGATTGCTCCTCGTGAACCCTGGAAACAAACCCATCCTCTGCCAAATCCCACAGTCCTGCTGTTCCCATTGCTCTCTGCCATCCTCATCCCAACTGGGAACAGAGACCAATTCCCTGCCCAACCCAGCAGGGCAAAACTACCAGAGAATTCAGATAAATAATCCAATAAAACGAGCTTTGGAATGAGCTGAGAGTCATCAGCAATTAAAAAATAATAATAATAAAGGGAGGATTTTACATTTAAAACATGGAAGTGGACACAGTGGGAAGAGGAGTGGGAATTTCTCCTGTCCCTCTGGAGCAGGGGCTGAATGTGGGGTCAGAATGACCCCGCAGTGGTGAGGGGTGGGGGTGTCTCGCCCCATGGGCGACACCACAGTGGGAATTGTGGTTGTGGAGCAAGTCCAGGGAGCTTTGGGGTTCTTGGGATGGGATGGAATGGGATGGAATGGGATGAGATGGGTTGGGATGGGATGGGATGGGATGGAATGGGATATGAGGCAATGGGGTGGGGTGGAACGGGGTTCTGGGGTCCCCAACCTTTCTGGGGCTGTGCCTTTGGGAAGGGGATGACCTGAAACCCCTGTTTCATGAAGCAACGACTCATTAATCAACATTACCATCGCTGGGAGAGTCAGTTCTGCTGATTCTGTTCCTTCCACCGGATCATCGACCTGGATTCATCTCTTTGACCATCGAGGTTTTTTCCTGGGATAAAACCTCTTCCCAGCTCCAGCTCATTCCCGAGCTTTGCGCTCAAACCTCGTTTGTTCTGGCCGCTTATCGTCCCCCGGAGCTGGGCCAGGGGGAGGTGACAGGGTGGGATTTCACCCCCGGCCGGGGACTCTGCAGCAGCAATGGCAGGAAGGAACAGCAGGAAAAGCCCAGGGAGAAACAATAGCTTCCAACACAAACACCATGGGAATTTCAAAGCAGGGCTGGCGGGAAGGTGACGCTCAGGACCTTTGGGGTGAAATGCCTCGGGAACAGGGAGGGTCCTTGGCTGTCCCCACGTCCCTCCTGTGAGGACACAGCTGGGTGGAATGCTCTGTGCTCCTCGCTCAGCCTTTGGGGGATTTTGGTTTTAACCCCCGACCCACATGCACAGGGGAGAGGTTGAACCCCCTCAATCCTGGCTCTGGAGCCTGGAGTCTGACAATGGCAAATTATGCTGTTGGTTTACCACAATTAATGTGTTTAAACACTGATGGAACCAGGAAAATAACCCTGTGAGAATGCAGGATGTGAAATAGATCACGCAGATAATGCACGCCTCATTTATACCTTGAATTATTTATTATTTAATTATTACTAGCCTGTGGTTGGTTGTTTGGTTCTTTGCCTGCACATGATGATGCTGCTTGATGGGATTTCTGCCCTGGCTTATCCCAAAAGATGCTGGGATCACGGCAGGACCCCACCTTCCCCAGACTGGAGGCGAGGAGGGTCCCCAGGCCAGCACAGCCCCCCGAGGGAGGCTGCACAGGGTTGATTAGTGCCACACCCTGAATGGGTTTCCTCCTTAACCCCACATCCTGGCCTTCCTTTGATCCTGGCTTTAATGTTACAGCTCACTCCTTAGGCCGGTGTGGAGGGAGCCACCGTTGTGCCCCGGGACACTGAAGTGTCACCTGTGCCCCATCCCGACGGAGAACAGAGAGGTGAGAGGGTGCCCGGTGTCAGGGGGGTGTGTGGGGAGCTTCCCTTTGGGTTTTCAGTCCAATTCAGCACCAAAAAAAAAGAGAGGAATCATAATATGTTGCAGATTGGAAGGCCAGAGCTGTTGATGAGCTGTTAATGAGCATTATCCCGGTTTTTCCTCTGGAAGTAGGCGGGTAATCAACGTTTTGTGCAGGATGAGGCTGCAGCCACATCCTGGTGGAGCTGAGGGGCTGAATCACGTCCTGATGTCTCATGGATGGGGGTGGAAATGGGGGAGGAACTTCGGGAGCATCTTGTTTGGGACCAGTGGGGTTCTCATGGGATCCCCCATTCCCGTGTGTTCATCCCTTCACTCCCTGTCCCCAGTTCCCAATTCCCGTTGGCCCTCCCGCTCTCCTCACTGCGATTAACACCAAGTGTTTGCTCAGCAGGGAAAAATCACCGGCTGCAGATCCCAGCATCCCAGATCCCAGGGATCCCAGGGATCGCACGGCTCGGCTGCCGTTCACACGGACAATGGCGCTTCCCAACCTGTCCGACTACTTGGACGGCCTCAATAACTACAGCGACTACCCGGACTACACCTACGAGGACGCCGGCAGCGTGTGGGCAGACCCGGCCCACGACCCCAAGGACATCACCAGGATCCTGTCCGTCATCATCTACAGCGTGTCCTGCGTGCTGGGCATCCTGGGCAACGGCCTCGTCATCGCCATCATCACCCTGAAGATGAAGAAGTCGGTCAACGCCGTCTGGTTCCTCAACCTGGCCGTGGCCGACTTCCTCTTCAACATCTTCCTGCCCATCAACATCGCCTACACGGCCATGAGCTACCACTGGATCTTCGGCACGGTCATGTGCAAGCTGAACTCCTTCCTCCTCATCCTCAACATGTACACCAGCGTCCTGCTGCTCACCACCATCAGCTTCGACCGCTACGTGTCCGTGGTGTTCCCGGTGTGGTCCCAGAACCACCGCTCCACCAACCTGGCCTACGGGGTTTGTGTGATCATCTGGACCGTGGGCATCGTCATGAGCTGCCCCTCGCTCGTCTTCCGGGACACGGCGCAGACCCGCAACTCCGTGATTTGTTTCAGCAACTTCTCCCTGTCCAGGAATAAATCCTACGAAGGGCTGGCTCTGATGAGGCACCGCACAGTGAACATCACCAGGTTCCTGGCTGGGTACATCCTCCCCATCACCATCATCACCTTCTGCTACGTCGCCATCGTCTTCAACCTGCGCCGGAACCGCCTGGCCAAGTCCAAGAAGCCCTTCAAGATCATCGTCACCATCATTGTCACCTTCTTCCTGTGTTGGAGTCCCTACCACCTGCTGAACCTGCTGGAGACGGTGCCCGATGCAGTCCCCTGGTCCGTGTTTGAGATCTTCATCCCGCTCACCACGGCTCTGGCGGCCTCCAACAGCTGCATGAACCCCGTCCTCTACGTCTTCATGGGCCAGGACTTCAAGAAGTTCAAGGTGACCCTCCTTTCCAGGCTGGTGAACGCCCTCAGCGAGGAGACAGGACACTCCAGCATCGTGCACAGGAGCTTCTCCAAGATCTCCTCCATGACTGAGAAAGAGACAACAGTTGTCTAAGCCCAGCCTGCAGGAGGGCCAGAGTCCCCTGGTGTTGGCACTGTGAGGGTGACCACCCCTGTGGTGGCCCTGGTGTGGGTCAAGCATTGTCCAGCACTGTCCTACAGCCCGTTTCTGACTGGTGTTGCTGCCTGAGGGCTGGCAGGGGATGGAGACACCCAAGGTGTGGAGAAAACACAACCACCCTTGATCTTGCATGGGATTGCAAAAATCCTTGTGCCAAACTAAGGAAACATTTTGGGGCATTCCCATCCAACCCTCCCCTGACCTGGGAAGGGCTTTCCTGGTGTTTTCCAGAGGCACCGTGGTGGGTCACGGGATATCAGGAAGGAATCTTCTGTGCCATGGGTGATCCCTGCCACGGCCAGATTGGTGACACTCCTCTGTCCCATGGCTGTGTGTGGCTCCTCATGGTTAATTCCTGAGGGATTTTGGTACCAGAACAAAGCATTTGTGACTGTTTTTGGAAGTGTCCTTATGAGGGGTTAGAATATCCCACCTCAAAAAACTGGGAAGTCTCAAATATCTTCTAAGATCCAGACCCAGGGCCACCTTCCAGTGTGGGGATTGGGCTCACTCACAGGGGCACCAGCATGGAAAGCTGGGAGAAAAAAGAGGGAAGGGTCGATTTGGGATGTCTTTTTACGCCTCCTTTTGATGGGCACGTTCCACACGGTACATCCTGTAGAGCAGTTGGATGTTTGGGACCAGGAACAGGTCCACGAGCTGGGAATGAGCTCCTGAGGAGGACCTGCTGTCCCCTCCTGTATCCAGAGGAGAGTGGCCAGCTGTTCCCTGGTGAGACCAGTCAGTTCTAAGGGATGATTTTTTTCTCTCCCATCCTGGGAGACTCTGGGAATCTTGTGGGAGACTCCACTGCCCCACTGCAGTGAGGGACGGGCCGAGCCACCACCTCGATCCAATTTCACACCCAGTTAATTTGGGAGCTCCTTCTCCATTAGGGCTCCTCCACCACGATCGTGGTGTCACCCTCACTTATGTGTCACCCCCAGGACAGCGAGGAATCCCTGGAGCTGGAATTAGGCAGCCCCCAGTGGCCCTGGGGACACTTCAGGAGGTCCCTCGGGGAGCTTTGTGCAGAGTTTTGACACGTTGGCAGTTGGGAGTCTGCCCCCAGGTGCCTCCAAAAGCTGAAATATTTATTTATAGCTTTCCTTGGAAATCAGAAAATGGAAAATAAAATGGAGAGGCAGCTCCCAGGAAAGGCCAGGGATCTGTTTCCAGGCAGCACATTGTGCCAGCCGCAGGTAGGAGTAAAGCTCCGGTAATCGAGCCGCGGGAACGTCGCGGATCAGAGCGGATGCTGCAGCGGGAGCTGGATTTCAGGATTTCAGGATTTCAGGATTTCAGGATTTCAGGATTTCGGGTGGATTATCCAGCGTCCTCTCTGCCCCGGCGCTGCCTCGCTGCTCCACCTCGATCTGCATCGCCTCCTTTGTGTGATGGGACACTCAGCACCGGGATTGTCTCGGTATCTCCTGGGGTTGGGATGCACCCGCTTCCCCAGGGAGCACTGTCACGTCCCATGGCCGGGCCCAGGGCTGCTCCCAGCCCCGATCCACAGAGATCCAGCCTGGATCCGTACCCATGGAAGATGCAGTGCCTGAGGAGGCAGCAGGGCCTCTCTGGTGGTGGGAGGCAGCTCCTCTTGCTCATTTTCCCCAGTATTTAATTAATACTGCTGGAAGGTTGCCAGGATCCTATTAGGAGTGGGATAGGACAGATGGGGTGGACGGGACAGATGGACAGACAGGGCGGTGACAGGGACACACAGAACTTGCAGAGGATCTGTTTAGAGAACATTGGGAATGGGATGTACCCAGAGCCAGCAGCCTCTGGGGCTTTTTGGGCTCAGGGTTTGGAGAAGGCCTGGATGTGGGAACAGCGGGATGAAGCCTCAAGGACTGGATGCCATCCCACTGCCCCTCGGGTTGGCACTGGGATGTTTGTGATGGATCCAGGATGCTCCTCACTAATCCTGGTGTCTTTTTTCCAAGCCCATCTGTTATTACTCCAAACAGCTTTCCAGAAAAAGGAAAAGCAGTGCCTTGGTACTTACCCTGGGGTTAAATCATCCCTGTAATGGCAGCTTGGGAATCCCAAGTTTCCCAAATATTTGAATCCGTCTTTGTAGCTGTTTGCTTATTTAATTAAAGCTCTGCTTTCCAAATAGCTCGTTGTGTGGAGTGGGAAGGATCGCAGGGTTTTTTCCTGGGTGTATTCCTATCCCCTGGTGTGGAATTTGGAATTGTGGAGGGGTTTGAGTGGCTGAGGTGGGATCTGAGCCTCTTGTGTGGGCGTTGGGAGATCTCCCATGGATGATCCAAGTGCTCCACCCCAACATCCATCCAGACACCGGCGCTGCTGTTCTGTCCCCTCTTGTTCCTGATTCTCCTCATCCTGGCAGGTTTTGGGATGAGGATGGGGAAGAGGATGGAAGAATATACTGTTTTTTTCCTGCTGGACCTGGTTAGCTTTGAATTAACATCCCCAAGGAATATCAGTGATTTCTGTTCCCGTGTCCCCCGCTGAGACAGGCAGCAAACAGCTCACCCAGGCAGCATTAACAAATGCACATTTTTATATAGCTATAAAATGGAAGCAGGGGGCAAAAAAAAACATTCCTCAGAAAACTTCAGCCTCCCCAGCCAGGTTTTTCTTCCCTTTTTGGCAGAGTGGCAAAGAAATGCAAGTCACTACTCAAATTCCTTGGATATTCCCGAAATACTGCAGGAGCTGCAGCTCTGGAATCTCCCAGGGTGCTGAGGATGCATCCTGTCAGCATTCCTTGGGTTTTTTACAGGGCTGGATATTTTGTTCATGGAGGGGAGGGGGCTGCACTCCCCCAGAGCGTTGGGAAGCTCCAAAATACTAAATCAAGGATCCTTGGATGCGTCCTGGTGACCCAATCCTGCCCCTGCGCTGCTCAGTTGGAGACATCCTTAGCTATTAATTAACAAAGTCCTCTTGATTAACGGCAGCAGGAGGTTAATGACTACGGGCAGCTCCAGGGGAACGTGCACAAACTGGAATTAACATCCAGGGAAAGGGCTGGGTAGGAGCTGCAGCTCCAGGACTGGTGGTGCTGGGATCTGCCGCCCCTTTTGGGGAGAAATCGGTGAAATTGGGATGCAGCTGGATTTAGCACCTCAGAGTCAAGGGATGAGTAGGATGCAGAGCCTCCACCGTCCCCATGAAATCTGGAATTAGGGCGGCTGTGGGCATCGGGATTTTAGGGTAGATCAGGGCTTGTGGTGAAGAACAGCAGGTCTTGGAGCTGGGGCAAAAACCCCCTATCCCAGGACCCTTATCCCAAATCCTGGGACCCCAAACCTTCAGCCCAGGACCTCCATCCACATCCCCGTGATTTTCACCCTCAGCCCAGAATCCTCAGGCCACAACCTTGGGATGCTCAGTCCATTCCTCCCAAATCCTGTTCCCAACCATCCCACCTCTCCCTGTGCCAGATCCCTGTGCTGCTGTGGGATTCAGCACCCCCAGACCCCTGGGATGTTGTTGCAGCCCACTGGGGGCCGTGGCAGGACTGATCCTCACCCAGAACATCCCAAACCTGCCCTCTTCCCGCTGCTGCTTCCCTGGATTTACCCCAAACTCAAGGCTGGGTCTCATTTCCTGGCAGAAATTACTTTGGAATACAGCAAACCCCGTTCCTGTGGAATGTGTTACCATCCTTAATGACAGCTCTTTTTCACTTGGCTGTCAAGGCCCTAAAATAAAGCCGTGTTTTCCCTCTGCCATAAATCACCGCCTTAATTCTGAATTGGAATGAAATCTAAAATTGAGGAAAATAAAAAAAAAAAAAGGACTAAACGTGTTCCCCTCTCCCTTTGCTTGGAGACAGGCAGGTTGGAGCCAGGTTTAAATTATCCCCGCTGTCTTCAGGCACGCTGTCAGCTGTAAATTTTAGGGGAAATAACCAAGCTGATAGATAAACCTGTTGGTTTTGTCGGGGAGGGAGACGGCTGCTCTCAGATTTATGGCCCATCTCCCCATTCTGGGGTTTCTGTGGAAGTGCTGCTGCTGGGCTTGGGGAGGGGGGATTTCCCTTTTTTTAAACGTAGCTGGAACTTCACGGGATTTAATTTGGGAAGAAGGGGAACTCCTCCTCTCTGAGCCCCCCAGCATCGTTTGCATCACTGGGGGCATTGCCCAGAATCCCCTGAATTCACCCCAAAGAAGCATTTGCCAGGAAGGGATCCAGGACCCGAGCCACACTTGGCATCACCTCCAACATCCCAACGTCCAGGGAGCACAAACCCCACCGGGAATTGGGGGAAATGCGGGAGCTTTTGGTGCAGACGCCGTTGCCAGGGCAACAGCTGAGCAACCCATGCAGCCCTGGAGGGAGGAATGCCGCAGCAGGACCGGGAGGCAGGAAAACGCTCCCAGGGATGCGAGATCGCCAAAAATAGATGATTTTCCCCGCAAGAATCCAGGGAGGAGCGGGGCGGGTCACGGTGCCCCCAGCCCCACACCAGGGCAGGGCGAGCTGTGCCCACCCAGGGATGCTGAGGCTGAGTCAAGCGGAAAGATTCCCAGCTTTTCAAATCCTCATGGAAAGGCTGAAGCTTTCCCCCGGAAAATGATGCGGGAAGGGTGGTTGGCTCCTTTTTCCAGGGGGAATAGGGATTTTATCCTTGCGTGCCAGTCCCACGTGGTTAAAACACAGCCCAGCGTTTAATAAATCAATAAAAAAAATCGGTGTACAAAGCTCCAGCTCGGGCTGTGCGTGCGGGGCCAGCAGCTCCTGGCGGGAGGGGGAAGCTGCTCCTGCGTCAGTGGGATGAGGGGAAGGGGGATCCCGTAATCCAGAGGTGCAGCCAGATGTGCAGCACGCCCTGACACGGTCATAATAGCTTCCAACTGCTCCATTTCAGCGTAAATTAAAGTTTAAAAAAAAAAAAAAAGCAGTTGCAGTGCAATAAAAGCAGGGAGAAACAAATAAAAAAGAGGTTAATTGATACTGCTGGAGGCTGGGGAGATTCCCAGGGTGGTTTTATTTTGTGGGAAGGGGTTTGTGGAGGTGCAGATGTGGGGTCTCTTCCCCTCCCTCCTCCCAAGCTGCAGCCCAGGCTGCGGGCGCCGCACGCGATGTCATCCCTTAATTGCTTTATCTCGGCCATTAATTGGCTTTGGGGGGTTAATTACTTCCGAGGGGAGGGAGGGAGCGTTGCCCCTTTGGTGGCCGGGGCCTGTCAGAACAAATCAAGGCTGATGTGAGGCTTCATCCCTGCTAAAAAAAATAAAAAATTATAAATAATAAAAAAAAGGAATTTCACCAATTCCAGATTAGAAATAAGGGATGAATCGCAGCCAGCTCTTGCTCTGGTGCCGAGGAAGGGCAGGAATAAATCCTGCAGTGAATTTCCCCCTTCCTACCACGCATCCCATTAAATCTGTCTGTAAGGACACTCTCCAGGTGCTAAAGCTCCCAAAAAGGAGCCGCTTTGGTTGCGTGGTCAACACAGAAACGACAGTAATGGGATTTAAATACCCCTTAATGGGCTTAAATACAGAAATTAATTAATGGGATTAAAGGGGAGAGGAGCTGCTCTCCCTTCGCTCCCACATTCCTGGTCTGGGGTGGCTGGGGGTGCTCAGGTGGCCCCACAAACACACGGGAGGCAGAGCAGCAACAAAAGCTCTCTTTTAATTGCTGGCTGGCCCTGAGGGTTTGTCCTGACTGACAGACATCCCCGGGGCTGCCATGAGCAAAGGATGGGCCCAGCTCCATTCCCACTGCCACGAATCCCAAAAATCCTCCAGCTACCTGTCAAGGGAAGAGTTAAAAACCGGGCAGCTGCTCCCTCTGAATGCAATCCCCCACCTCCTTCAAAAAAACAAGGAGCAGGATCCCCCCACCCCAGCCCAGCTCTGCACACACCTTAGAAAAATAGATTTTTATTGAAATTCTCCTTTTTTCTCCAGGGAGTTTTCTTCTCTCTTGGAATAGAGACCAAGCAGGCTCTCTGGATTTCACCTGGGCCTGCATTTCTATCAGGATCAAGAGTTAAAAGCCAACTGGTGAATCTCTAACTCTAGAAAAGGCTGCGTACGATATATGGCTTTTTGCACCTACATCCAAGGGGGTCTTGCGGGTTTGGGAGCTTTGGGGAGCTCGTTTGGGGCAAAGCCAGGACGGGGAGGGTGGCGTGGGATGAGGGGACAGCCAGGGACCACATGCAGCTGTGCACAAAGCCAGCCCGGAAATCGGCACATTCCCGGAGTGTGGGATCCTTTGGTTTGGCTTTGGGACACCCCAAAGCTCAGCCCCAGGGTTTGCTCCCCACGGGGGTTGGGGTTGCAGTGTGGACCCTGCTCCTGGTCCCCCAAAACTGCTCCTGACCCCCCAGAAATGCTCCTGAGGGGCCGTTCTGGCTCGTGGGCTCTGAAATGAGGCCTGGATGAACTCGTGGGTCCCAACAGCTCCTCTGTCCAGGGAAAACGTCTCCCTCTGGAGCAGCATCCACAGGGAAGGGGAGCTTCCACCTGTGGCCCTGCTGGTGGGGGTCATGGGCCTCCCATCAAGGGCTGGAGCAGCAACTTTGCCTGGTGCTGTGGCTGAGGAATTCCAGGGAATTCTCTGGGAGCCACAGGATGGCTCGAGGGGCCACAGCCACCACGTCTGGGGACATTGCACAGCACGGCCTTGCCGACCCCATAACCTCAGGCAGGATCCATGGGAACCCACACGGTGCCACGGCCTCAGGAAGGCTGAAGATTCCATCCAAGGACAAGTGGAATCCTTCCAGGGCTGGGATTTTGGGGACACCCACCCCCAAGGAGCTCAGCTCCGGCAGCTCCGGGTGCTTCAGGCACGGCCCGAGCAGCTCGGCGTCCCCAGGGGACACAAACATCCCACTGCACTTCCCAGGAGGGCTGGGGCAGCCAGAACGGGAGCAGGGACCCCGGGGCAGGGAAGGCACCCGTGTCCCCAGGTTGGCCAAAAAAAGCTCAGCGGTGTCTGGGGACCTGTGGTGGCTCATGCAGGGAGTGACCAACAGCTACAGCAGCACACGGAGGGTTAAAAGAGGAGCCACCCACTGGGTGGAATTAGGCAGGAGCTGGGAGGACCGAGAGCCACCCCTGGCCACGCAGGGCGCGGTCCCCCCGCCTCAGTCACCATCATCTGGGGAAATAATCCTCGGGCA